AAAGAGTTCATCATGAAGAGTCCCTCTTTCTCCATAAAGTCGGCCAGCTGCTGGCCCCTTCGGTTCCGTTGCCCTACTCCAAATTTCCCTACCTTCAGCTCACCGCTTTCTCTTGTGCCTAGTTTTGCGTTGAAGTCTCCCATCAACACCGTGTAGTGGGTTTTGGAGGAATGTATGGCTCTGGAAATATCCTCATACATTTCCTCCACCTCCTCATTGGGATGTGCCGAGGTTTGTGCGTAAACCTGAATGACCTTCAGCGAATACCGTTTGGTGATTCTGAGTATCAGGTACGCGACCCTCGTCGACACACTCCCAATCTTTACAACGTTGCTGACGAGAGACTTGTGGAAGATAAATCCAATACCTCCTTGGGACAGATGGTCGCCCTCCCGGTGATAGAACAAGTTGCCGGACTCGAGGATTGCCGTGTCCTCCCCCTCTCTTCGGACCTCGGATAATCCAATAATATGCCAGCGCAACTTGTCTACCTCTTCTTCCAGCTCTAGTATCTTCTCGTCAGTCCTCAGGGTGCGTGCGTTATATGTTGCCAGGTCGAGTCGTCGTAGGTGGCAACCGAACCTCCACCGGAGATTCTTAGCACCCCCTGCCCCGCCGTTACCATGGTCGCCACCGTAGCCAGGAATAGCGGGCCCGCCGGGGACTGGGGGCCGTCTGTTTGTGTATTTATTCATTGGGGGGTATTTGCCATAGTTGCCACGCTTGGCGAGCGGGTTGGCAACCGCAGTTTTTTATTACGTCACAGTTGTTATCAGGAAGATGCTGCTGCCCATCTCCTGCCTGTCTCTTTGTGTCGCCTTTTACGACACCCACGGGAAGATATGGGGTAGTGGATATTCTCAACCGCCACTACACGGCATTATCATCATCATATATCAAAGATCACATACACCAAATTCCGTCTTGAAAGAACTAGAAATAACGAAGTGATTTCCTAATTCACTTAAGCTTCTAAAGTTGGAGACTACACTGTGTTCCCGATAAAAAAGTTGTAAAAGATAAGTAATAATGTTATTAAATTACAATTATGTTATCAGATGATTCTCAAAACGAAAACAGTAATAAAAAGGCATTTATTTAACACAATAAATATTGTCAAAGAAATAAATGATACAATGAAAACCGAGACGATCCGAAGTTTCCAGCCTCTGTTAATGTAAATAAATGTGTAAATTCTGGTCACAATCCCCTTTTACGACAAATTGTCAAGTCACTGTATTGAAATTATTCACATTACGAATAATTTTTATCTTTCATTGATTAAAGAAAAGCGAAACACAGAGAATAGCTGCCGAGCAAGTAGTTTAGTTTGTGAAGATTTATACATTGATTTTATGTATTCAGAACTGTTCCTCGTCGTCCAGAATGGCGTTTTTTTACGTACCAAGACATACGTACTCTATTATTTTATTCATTACATCCTATGAAAAGTCCACTGCTAAGCATATATGTTTTAATAAATTTTATTTTAGAGGGATATTGCCGCAATTGCAACGCTTCGCAGGCGAGTTTGCAACCGCATTTAATTAATTTTTAGTTGGTATAAGGGTGTCGTTGCTACCGATTTCCTGGTTCTCTTTCCTCTGTCACTACCAATTCTACTGCCAAACACAGGACTCATCACAGATTGCCTCATAGGCTAGATATTCACCATAGTTACCACGCTTGAGATGCAGGTTGGGAACTGTAATTTTAATTATTATAGCGTAAGAAAGGCGCTGCTGCACATATCCTGATTTGTTACCCTCTGCTCCCTTTTACGACACCAACGGTACGATATACGGAAGTGAATATACATACGACACTGCTACATATCAAAATTTATACAGTTCTGGTTAAAAAATTATTTTGGATTTCTTGGACATTTTCTTGATGTTTTAAAATAATGGCGAACACTCGTCTTTGTTACTCCACGATCGTTGTTAACATGGAAATGTGGGGTTTTATTGAGAAAGGTTGTAAAATTTGGAAGTAGTAAGTCTACCATTTTTGTACATATAAAGGGAATGGTGTTTTTTATAGCAACATTCGTGTTCTCATAAGTTGTTTTCTTCCTTTTTTATTACAATGTTTTTATCAAATGCCTATTTCCTCTGATTATCTGTTTAGTACAATGGTAGTAATCCATTGTAAACTCATTTTTGATGAGCTATAGACTTTAAACTTTTTAAACGTGACTTGACACTTGAAACGTGGCAAAAATGGTCAACAAGTTGTAGCCATAAAGAATCACCTTTTATATAGTCCACCTGATAGTAACTGGATTCTGTAAGCCATAGACATCTTGATTAAGCTATACTCTATTAAGAATGTGTAGATTCGTTGTCACCCCTGAAGACTAAGATGGAATGCCTCGTTTCAAGTTAAAATAATACTGTGTCTTATTTTAACCCGAAACTTGTTTGATTTGTTGACTTTAGTTGTACTTACAATACAAAACACAACAGCATTGAGCTGCTATTTTACACTAGTAAACTGTGAGAGCGTGGTTTTAAATCAGGTAAGTTCACACATTCGTGCTACAACCAAAATATAGCAGCACCGTGGCTTTACCTCGTAAACACGCTAGATAAATTTTACGTCTACTAATATATGGTATAATTAATACTGGTTGCGCGGAAAACCATTCGCGTTTTTATTTTTGACGGTAGGAACTTGCCGAATCATTATTCCCTTTCCCAAACGATATCATTCGTACCCTCCTATCGACACATCGGGGTGATGGGGTGGGAGGGGAAAGAAGACGATTCTAGAACATCGCGTAATCATCGGACCCGAGGATATATAAGACACGCGCGACCGACGCGCGCCTCTTCTTCCCGCCGCAGCCGTCGTTGAACTACAACGCTTCTCTCCTGACGCACCCCTGGGGCCCCAGAGTGTCTGTCCAGAGGAGGTTCCGGAAATCGCCGCTATAGTGCTCTAAAGGATAGAAGAACCCCGGTGAGTCAACATTCCTTAATTTACTGCCTGATTAATATTTAATAATTGTTTAACCGCTCCAATTCTGTGTTCTCCCCATCAGGCAGGATTCCTTTCATCGATTTGGCAAGTAATAGTTTTAGTTTAGGGAAGAGCGAGTGCATTGTACCGCATGCTATAGTGGTCGCTTTTACATAAGCATAGAAGCAATCGCAAATACAGTCCACTTTAGTTAATATCTCGCGTAATAGGTTTGAGGTTTGACCGGGGAACTAGATTTTCGGCAGCCTTAAACACGTGGCTCCACCAAATACAGTATACTAGGTAATTGTTTCACTAATTGTAGATAAAAATACACACACGTCAAAGAGCGAAGCGTCAAAGGTGCAAAAGTCCGATGGTACTGTGATGCATATTCTATTTATGGTCGCCAATATGCCTACAAAGTGTGGAGATGTACACGACAGCAATGGACTGTTACGGTCCTATGATTGAGAAGAAAAATAGTTCGTCATTAAGACAATACGATATCTGGCTTGGAAACTTAAATTTCATTTTTAAATACGTTAATAATATTACTACTTTTAACAGTGGTAGAGCCACGCAACAGCTTTTGCTGTTGCACGTATGGGCCGGCTCAAACCGGGGTGGTACCACGACCTCACAGAAAACCGGCGTGAGTAAAAGCTTTGCTTCTGCATTTCGTCTGGTAAGTGCAGGTGGCTGGAGGCCATATTCCTCCCCCCCCTTAACATTGTAGCGGAGTTAAATATAACTTTACCCCATGAGGGTACCAGCACCCCCCGGTGACGGAGAATCCCTCGCTGAGCATTCACGCCCAAACTCACCTGCTCTTCCTGAGCGTGGGTGATCAGGTTGCCCCTCGTATTCTGGGGGAGGGGGAGGGGGGCAAATTCCGCTCGAGACTAAACCTGCTCTGGGTAAACGGTGCAATAAGTTAAAGGCGCCCCCTGCCACGTTATCCGTGGATTATTTCAACATCAGAGGACTTCATTCAAACTTTAACACCGTCCACTACCATCTGAAAACGGCGAAACCGACCTCGCTCTTTCTAACCGAGACACGGGTGTCCTCTCCGGCTGACACTTCGTATTTTTCCTACCCGGGGTACAGATTAGAATACTCTTTTGTGCCCTGGGCTGGAGTTTGCGTGTACGTCAGAGAGGAAATTTGTTTTCGACGCCTCGGCAGCCTTCAAGGTATGGAACTGTCCATCTTATGGTTACGCGTAGACAGAAACGACTATCCCCGCGTCTACGGGTGCCTAAATATTAGGGTGGAGCGCACTTGTATGGGATATTTTTTGTGGAATATTGAAGTGGCGGATGTCGCAAAAGGTGCTCTGATACCAACATAACCCTCTCGTATCATTTATATAAAATATAATTAGAAGTACTGCCGCAAAGCTCGCAAAGTTTTCGAAATGTGCGAAAAAAAGGTATACTTTCTTGACATGTAAAATGGTTTTAAATAAATTGTTTTTCTTAAAAATGCTTTTATTCACATATGAACAAGCGCCACTATGATACAAATTGCAAAAAAGTTACACCAAGTGTTGCCTATGGCGTCATATTTTTGATCTATCAATCGCGCATTGTTTTACCATATAAGGAGAGGCGAGAGTGCGGGACGCGGGTTAATTGTGTCGCATCGTTCTCTGCGCAATTAGTCATTTAGCTAGATTTGACATGAGGTAACGTAAAAAGTAGTATAATGAGTGTAAGAAGTAATTATTCGTCGCCTATCTTCAGTACTGGTTGTGAATTACCAAATGTGCTGCCAACCTACAGTGATGTGATAAAATATTATGTCTTTGTATCAGTAGCACGATGTGCGGAAAAGGGACGACAAGATTTAGTACAGGCCACTTGACATATTGTTGCGATCGAAATTGAAAACATCTGGAAACGAGCTCTTTACCAATCGTACAACATAAAACAATAGTGTCAAAAATAAGATCCTATAATGACAATTTTTGTTTAGTTTTCTTGATGATTGGATCTCTAGATAAAAAATCTACACTTTAGAATATAGCTTTGTCTGATCGGAAGTTAAAAGGAAAACAGTTTGAAGAGAACGTAAATGATGAACCTGAGCAGAAAAGATGGAAAACAAAAACTTCGTCTGTTATTAATGTCACCTCGATTGTGCCCGCAATTAATGTCCCCGGACCTAGTAAATTCCCTGTAGTAGCTATGACATTAGATAGATACGGCATTTCAGACCGTGCTGGTGCTGCCATCGTGTCGGCTAAGTTGCAAGATATCAGTCTGGTTACTGAGAGTGACACGTCAAGTGTTATCGATCGTAGCAAAATTCGGCGCGCTCGCGCACAAACGAGAAGTTCAGGGGCTGCAGTTAACGTACTAGTGGGCGATGATTCATTAGTTTGTATATCGTTTGATGGCCGCAAAGATAAAACAATGTTATATGAAGATAATCGCAGAACAACTGTTGTTGAAGATCACACAACCATGGTAAAAGAGCCGAACTCGCAATACATCGGGAATATTACACCGGCCACAGCAGATGCACTCACAATTTCAAAAAAAAACTTTACCTTTATTTAGCGTTGAAGTGTGCTTTGAAGCGAATAACAGCAGTAGGGTGCGACGGTACGGCAATCAACACTGGCAAAAAGGCTGGAATCATTTGTCTTCTAGAAAAGAAACTTCATCGCCCTCTTCAATGGCTCGTGTGTCTATTGCATGGCAGCGAACTTCCTTTACGACATCTGTTTGAGCATCTTGATGGGAAAACTGCAGGACCAAGAAGTTTCACAGGCATCATTGGTAAGGCGTTGAAGGGTTGTGAGAATCTTCCAGTGGTTCAATTTACACCCATCGCATGTAAACTACCAGATATTTCAAAATCACGTAGTGATCTCAGTACAGATCAGCTTTACTTGTATGAAATATGTGACGCTGTTAGCAGAGGACAATGTGACGTAAGTTTAGCCAAGCGAAACCCCGGAAAGATTGTTAATTCACGGTGGCTGATAACAGCTAACAGGATAATTCGACTATATGTTTCCACTAGTTAACCTTCACATAATTTGCGTATCTTAGCAGACTTCGTCATCCGAGTGTATGCTCCGATGTGGTTTGAAATTAAAACAAAACCATTTTGCGTGTACGGATCGAAACACCTGCACAAAATGATTACATTATCGCGATACCTTCCTGCAAACCTTATGATAATAGTTGACTTTTCGTTGCTAACAGACTATCGCAAACATATCAAAGAATTAGCACTCCGGCGCATTGTTAAAATACGAGAGCAGACTTCGGGCTTGGCGCCGATACGAGTGTTTAAATTACCATCATTTTAACTTCTCTGCCGCTGCGTATACAGATTTGACTAAGAGTGGGCTCCCCTGATCAATCAGATACAAACCAACGTAATTTATAGAGCTATTCGAAATACTGAAATAGTCGAAACGGAGATTCTCCCTACATTTCGCAAAATGCCATGCTACTCACAAGCTATTGAAAGATGCATTAAGCTGGTCACTGAGTCATTTGCTGCTATGTGTGGACCAGATAAACGTGAAGGATGGATCCAAAACAAGTAAAAATCGTGCAATATCATGCCGGTCTTCAACACAAAAAAGAGTTCGTAGCCTCAGTCGTAGCTCACCAAACGGCGAAAAATTAATAATTTTAGATGTTTTTATTTTATTTTAATGGAAAGTACGTTATTTTTTGTATCACTTCTTGTAAAGGTTAGTTACGATTTTCTCAATTTTTTTACACTCTGTCGGATTTACCAAAATCCTTATTTTAGGATTGAAATTTTCAATCTATTGGCTAAGTACTCCAGCTTCCTGATATATTAAGGTTCCGCAGTATGCGGTAAACCGACTCATCGATCACGTCCAGATGCTATGCTACAAGAGATTCCATCCGCAGAGATCGTGATACTTGATGATTTTAACGCCCACCATTCTGAATGGTTTGGTTCTGGTTTAACCGATCATGCGGATAGATCTATTTATCTAATAGAATCGCGATTCGCTTTGGAATATGGACTAACACAACTGGTTACCTCGCCTACGCGGATCCCAGATGTGGAAGAGCATGTACTTTCTGTTGGAACTTCTGCTTACCTCTCATCCGGACGGATATCAGGTCTCCGTTGATGCCCCCCTTGGCTCCTCGGACCATTGTCTGATCCGGAATACGGTGCCACTCACGCTCCCATCACGGTTGCGTACTGCAGTTTGCCACCGTGTTTGGCATTATAGGTCAGCCGATTGGGACAGGATGCAATCTTTCTTTGCATCCTACTCTTGGAGGCGAGTTTGCTTCTCGCCGGATGATCCCAGCGTTGTTGCTGATTCTGTAGCTAATGAGGTGCTACAGGGAATGAAACTATTCATAACATCATCTGTGGTACCTATTGGAGGCAGAATCCAGAATTGGTTGGATCGCTCCTGCAAAATTGCAATAATCATAAGCAGTAGTGTTACCAGGTGTGGGTTCGCGCATTGACGTCTCAGAATGTAAATACCAGCGTTCTTAAAAATAAATATAATTCTACTTCCAGGTCCTTCAAAAGTGTCATTGTCAAGGCAAAATTAGAGCACATCGGCAGAATTGGCGAGAAACTTGTTCATCTTCCTTCGTGAATACGTGCATTCTGGTCTCTCCTCAAGGCCGTCCAATGGAACTTCTGCAAGCTATCTCTTTCACCTCTGCACAGATAAGATGACTCACTGGCACATGCGAAAAGTACAAAACCGATCTACCGGGTTCTCTCTTTGCGTCATACTTGACTTTTAATGACGGGGGGAAACACCGCCGCCACTCCGCAGTGTATGTGCTTCTTGCAGGATGTGTTGTTTACCCAACGCTCGGTACGCAGAGTACTCCTCTCCCTGGAGATTAAAAACTCAAGTGGGCCTGATGGCTTACATCCTATTGTGCTCAAGACGTGTGCTCCAAAGTTGGCAGCGGTCTTAACGCATCTTTTTCGGTACTGTTACTCCCTAGACATAGTCTCAAAATCATGGAAGATAGCCTTCGTGCACCCGATCCCTAAAAAGGTAACCGCTCTGATCCGTCCAACTATAAGCCTATTGTCATCACCTCCTTGTTCTCTAAAATAATGGAATCTATTATTTACATCCAGCTCAAGCGGTACCTAGGGGATCACCTGCTGTGATTAGTGACCGCCAGTACGGTTTCCGTCGCAGAAAATCGGCTGGCTGGTGTTCTTCTAGGTTACTTAGCTCATGAATGGGCTGAGGCAGTAGAGTCCAAGGGAGAGACGTTGGCCGTCAGTTTGAACATAGCAAAGGCCTTCAATCAGGTTTAGCGTAAAGCGTTTCTTACGAAGCTTCCTTTCTATGGGCTTCCCGACAAATTGTGCAATTGGATCACGAGTTTTCTTGCTGATCGGAGCATCAAAGTCGTAGTAGACGGTGCATGCTTCGATTACAAGCCCATTAACTTTGGTGTTCCAAAAGGCTGCGTGCTATCACCAACGCTGTTTCTTCTGAAAATCAATTACATGTTGCAAATCGGTAGCATTCATTGCTATGCACGACAACACTGGTGATGTTTTATGCACCAGCCGTGCCAATATCTCTCGGGAAAACTTCGCCAAATACCGGGACAAACTTGTGTCTGAAGTCGAGACTTCGTTAAACAAAATCTCGGACTTTAGGCAATTAAATATAGTCCAGTTGGTATCTCGTCGTATCTCTTTGGTTTTAAGGTATTCCATTTATTGCCTCAGCCAGTATCGGAATCCTTGGCGTCGACATATCGAGTGACGTGCAGTTTCGTGGTCACTTGGAAGAGAAGGCAGAATTGGACTCTATAAAGCTTGGCGTGCTCAGCTGAGCGGGACACTATTTCATGCCGGCTTACCGCCTGCAACTGTACAAGGCGCAGGTTCGGCCACACAAGGAATAATATTCCCATCTCTAGGCCGGGGCTCCCCAGTGCCAGCTCCTTCAATTTTATCGCATCCAGCGCAGATCAGTTCGAATCGTTGGCGACCGAGCTCTTTCCGATCGGCTTGACTCACTGGCGCTGTGAAGAGATGTTTAGAGAAGTTTTCTTCCTCACCACGAACTTCCTTGTGATAATCAACTAACTCGGCCAACTTACATACTAAGTTTTCTCCCAACTAACTCCGTCAACTAACTAAAAAGATTTTTTCGGACCGACAGGACTTAGGGACTTTTAAGAAAAGAGCCTATTCCTTTTTAAAAGACAATAAAGTTCATAGGTGGCGGCAATCTCTTATCATCAGGTGAGCCGTATGACTCTCATCTCTTAAATTAATGCCTCTTAAATTAATGATTTCCTATATTTGCACGAACATAACATAATATTTTATTTTATTAACACAAAACACAATACAGTTTATAGTTGTAGAGATAAAATTTTCTTAAAATTAGACAATTAAGTACTTAATTGTAAGCCAAACACGTGTTTATGAAATACATTATAATGAGTTACATCTACTTACTGTGTTATAAATAATTAAATAAACAGTGGTTCTTCAATCACCCATCCAAAAGCAGATTACAAGAGGCTTGTTACAAATTTAAAACTGAACAAAAGTAATCAGAAACATAAAACAGATGAGACAAATTATTTCAGAATATCACGGATAAATATATTGGAGACATTTGGGTTTGAACCTAGAATATCAACATTTGGATAGTCCTGCATTGTAGAGGCGACACACCCTTACCACTTGGTTGTAATATGATGTGTTGTTACGGTACACTTGGAGTGAAAACAGTTTGGGCTTGCGATCACGGGCCCTGTAATGCGTGTTTATGTTAATCGATGCAAGCAGGGACGAAGAATCAATCGTAGAGTGTACTATTTTATGTAGATATATAAGCTCGACCCTTTTGCGTCTCGTTTCCAGGGTAACCATATTAAATTTCTGCAGCCTCTCTGTGGCCTCTCTCTCTCCCTCTCTCTGTGGCTCCATGAGGCCAACTTGCGATGGTAACCATGACGAAAAGAGAGACATCTCAAGAATCTTTTTTTGAATTCTCTCAATGCGTTCAATATGTACGGTGTAAAATGGAGACCAGATGACTGCACCATATTTCGTACTAGTGAATTATACAGATATACTACCAATGCTGTTCGGCTTTTTATGCTGCTTGGTATTTTGCAGAACAAAACCCAGCATTTTACTACCCCTCATAATAACATAATTGTAATGCCTGCAAAAACTCAATTTATCATCGAAAATTACACTTAAATCCTTAGCTTAACTCTGCCTGTTAAGTTTTTGGTCATTGAGAGTATATTTATAGTTAATTTAATTTGTTTTTTTTTTGTAAAGGATACTACAAAACATTAATTAATATTAAGATACATATGAGTACACCATCTCGCCACGGTTTCGATATACATTTGTAATTCTTCAGCTTCTTCAAGGAACGTCTTCGGAGAAAATATTTAAATCTTCTGCATATAGTAGGCTAGGACATTTTAATTGCGCAGCAAGATCGTTTATAAAGGCTATAAACATCAATCAAGAACCGATAATCAAGTCTTGTGGGACACCTGAGATAACAAGAACTGGGTTG